AGTAAAAAAGACTAAGATGTGTAAGTATATGTACCAACTTCCCACTGTGTATGTATTCATTATGTATTCCAAACTCGTCCTAATTAAAAAAAATAGTGTTTCATACCTTGTAGGTATTAAGGAAATACTTCTGACCATATAGTTATCCTTGTGCAAAAACTGGATTAGCCAGCTACTCCACGCACTATTTAAATAAGTTTTAAATCAAAACAAGTACATGGTGAACTTACATAGAACTAATTCTTTTTATATCCCATATGGTTTGTAGAGCCTTAAGGATTTAAGTTTAAAAACATTGGCCATAAAACTTTTTATTTTGCTCTTTCCCATATTACAAGATGGTGGGCAAAAAAACTGAGAAGCCAGACACTATAAAGAGAAGAAATCGAAGCCTAGAAGGCTGATGCCAGTGGTATTGGTAAGGTGAAGGCAAAAAAGTCCAAGAAGGGGCAGCTTCACTGCAGCCGAAATCCTGTCCTTAGAGGAATTGGTAGATACTCCTGATCTGCTATGTATTCCAGAAAGGCTTTGCACAAGAGAAAGTACACAGCTGCTAAGTCAAAAGATGAGAAGAAAAAGGAGAAAGTTCTTGCTACAATCACAAAACCAGTTGGTGGGGAAAAGAATGGAGGTAGCCCGGGTTGTTAAAGATTCAAAAAATGCCTCGATACTACCCTACTGAAGATGTGTCCCGAAAACTCTTGAGCCACGGCAAGAAACCTTTCAGTCAGCACGTGCAGACACTTCAAACTAGCATCACTCCCAGCACCATTTTGATCATCCTCACCAAGTGTCACACAGGCAAGAGAGTGGTCTTCTTGTAGCAGCTGGCGAGTGGCTTGCTACTTGTAATGGGACCTCTGAGCCTTAATCATGTTCCTCTCCAAAGAACACACTAGAAATTTGTCATTGCTACCTCTACAAATACTTGTTCCATGTTATGCCTAAGATGTTTGATATTCAGACAGATAGTGAGTTTAAACCCACTACATATGCTGTAGGGTAATAATAAATTTCTCTTCTGGAGGGTTAACAACCTAAGTTTGCAGACCAAAAATTAGAGAAAAAGGAAGGCTCAAGGACAGCCAACATTTTGGACCTAGCCTTTCACGGTCAGTGAAGACTCAGAACATAGGAGAACCTATACTGTAACATCAGTACTGTCCCAAATTTTCTGATCAAGAAGATTATGGGGCCAAAGAGGAAAGTAATCAATGACATAGAGTGTGCCTAAGGAGAGTCACATGGAGAGAAAATATTCTCTCAGGCTTTCACAGAGAGCAAATTGGTCAAGCAATGGCTGTGACTCATCCACATGACTGATATTGACAAAGTATGTGCAAACTGTAGTGCAGGGCTCAGTATAAATCCTGAGGGGACTTGATTGACTTTATAAGATACAAAAGTTACATTTCTTATTATATAGGTCTTGCTTTATCTTGGTCTTAACTATCCCGCAGAAACGTGTAAAATGGAGGTATAAAAAGTAAAGCCATATTAATATGCTGAGCTGTGAAAGGCTCAAGTCAACAACTTCTGACATTGCCAGTCCTATGGATAGCCCACTACTATTATGGACTACTGGACTTTTTTTTTTTTTTCCATACCTGGGGATTGAACTCAGACCCTTGCGCTTGCCAGGAAGTGCTTATTCTACTGAGCCATCTCCCGGGCCCTGGACTACTGGACTATATTGGATTATTTTGCTGAATTCACAATTCACGTACCTACAATATTTAAATGGCAATGGGGTACCCATCTCTAACAAAATTAAACAAAAAAAGGGGATACAAATGAATGACCATTTTGTATCTGTATATACAAAATAGTTAGGATACATATACAGTTACTTTCTCTTAATTCAATGAGAAGAAAGATTTGTACTAATAGTATTTGGACAGGATATCATGTCTACATCTTGTACTATGAATAACCACTAAGATAACAACATACAATGTAGTAATTATTGAAACTGTCCTATTAACTGATTTTGAAACTGTCTCAAAAAAAAAAAACTGTCTCATTGCTGTTTCTCAATAAAATAAAAAAAAAAATTGATATCAGCAAAATGAAAATCCCCAAACACCTCATTGATGTTTACTTTAAGAAGAAGAAGCTTTGGAAACCCAGACACCAGGAGGGCGAGATCTTTGACACCAAGAAAGAGAGATACCAGATTTCAGAGCAGTGCAAGGTGGATCAGAAAGCAGTGGACTCACAGATTTTAGCAAAAATCAAAGCTATTCCTCCCCTCTGGGGCTACCTGCAATCTGTTTTTGCTCTGACACATGGATTTTTTTCTTTTTCTTTTTCTTTTTCTTTCTGTATTTTAGGGAAGGGTCTACAGGCTGTTCAGGGGCAGACTGGATCAGAATGGATCAGACTCATAGTGATTCGCTTGTTTACAGCTTCCCAAGAGCTGGGATTATAGGCATGTGCCACCATGCCCAGTTTCAGCAAATGGGTTTTATCCTCATAAATTAGTGTTCTAAATTTCTTACTAAGAACCTAATGAAATAACTGATACATTTAAAAAAATAAAACTTTTTTTGTGGGGTCCATGGAGATAGCTCAGTAGAATAAGCACTTGCCTAGCAAGTGCAGGGTCCTGAGTTCGATCCCTGGTCCCACATTAAAAAAAAAAGAAGACACACACACACACAAATCTTTTTATTTTATTCAGGAACTCTACTAGTTGTCTTACAGAAAAACTTGTACTTCACCACAGTGCTAGAAAAAAAATGATTATTAAAAACAGCATCAAAAGTTTCTGCATTTACAACAATCTAGTGATAGTGAATTGGCTGAAATATTTATAACAAACAAAAACAGAAAAGTTTTCCCTGGTTTTACTTATTACTACATGGTCTGTACAAAGAAACTGTTCTATGAACTATACTTGTTTTGAGACTAAAACAAAAAGAAAAAACACAATTATTTTAGCTTCCAAGAGTTTCAGGAGCTAAAATAATTCCCTCTCTCAATTCTTTCATAAAAATCTCCAACTAGCTCAAATTTAAACAGCTCAATACTTGAGGCTTAGACTTACCATAAAAATAAATTGGCTTTAACCTAATGTATGTTTAATTACAGCTGCTCTGAGTCATAAAATATAATTTTACCATATCATAAAACTGTTGGATCCAGTAATACAAAGCAGAATATAAATATAGAGCAGATAAGTCTAGGGTAAGGATTCAATATGTCTTCATAGAAGCTCGGCATTGCCCAAAAGTAAGGCCCAATAAACACACTTTCAATCAATGGACTCAGGGCTGTGCCACTCTCTAATCTGAAAATGATCAGGTCACCGTTCCAGATGAGGTTATTAGGCATCTACATCTTCCCAGAACCCCACAATTTGCTTTTCGCTGATCTCAAGGGACACGTGTTTTCACAGGCATCTTGTAGTTCATAGCGAGTGCCAACCTTTCGGCTTGCTTAGGATGCACCAAGTGAGGTGGAATTATCTTGGCCCACATATAAAAATATATAATTTCGTAAAGTTACATAAGTAACAAAACCTCTTTTACTATAACGTTGCTAGTACTAGTGATGTTGTATGTAATTATTCCAACATCATGAGCAATACATGGCTTGACATATTTTTGTACTAATTTTAACTTAAGCTATTTTACAAAATAACACAAGCCAAAGATTAATAATTAAATAAGAAAACTTACATGTCTGCCTAATAACAATATACATCCATCTTCACAGGTGCACATATGTATAGGTAGGTTAAAATACTATCATGGGCATCTACTGTTTGGCTTGCAAACTAACACAGCGCATGTGGCGTCTGATACGTGCTGGGGAGGTGGGTGGGGGGCGCAGGCAGCACCGACACATGCCCTTTGCTACTGAGCCCTGCATCGCCATCTCTACAGTCCATGCCCGACTCATGAAGAATATTGCTACAAGCCCTAACAACCAATTATTAAGAGTTCATGATCTTGTGACACTGAAAAACTAGCTGTGCAGAACAGCAAGCAGGCCACAGACTATGGATTGGGTGTTTGGCTTAAGTACCCCAGTTAAATTGGCAGCATTATTTTAGTAAATGATGGTAATTTCCAATTAGTGAACTATAGTGATTGCTAATTCCATCGTTATATAGAAAATACAAAAAACCTCAAGTACTTACATCAATTAAATCTGAAAGATCATGAATATAATACTTGAAAACCGAGGCATTGGTTGCTTCAAGTGTTAGGAGATACTCATTCCGTGCCTTAATGGATTTTAGCTTATTTTCTGAGTACTTAGCTTGTCTCTGGAAATGAAGAAGATCCAGGCATTGGCAAAGAGGGAAATCATTTAAAGAATAAGACAGAGAAATATACATGAATTTTTATTAATCTATGCAATGTGTTCCACATATACATATGACCCTTGAAGTGCTCTGCAAAAAGTCCATTTGATTTAAATAACAAACTCAAATTACCCAGCTATGGAGAGTAACAACAATGTAGTTGGGCTGCAGGCCCATTTACAATGAAATCTCTTCATTAATATTCAAGTTCTCCACTTTTGCACCGAATACTTGGCATTCACCACTAACTGATGGCCAGCTGTTACTACATGATTTTTGTGTCTTAAGCATTTTTCATTCCCATAGGAGGAAGAGCATATCTTTCAATAGTAAATTACAAATGTATGTCTATCAGCCGGTGAATATGTTCTCAGTACTGCACTGTCTTCTCAGATGAGCAGAGAAGCGTTCTGCGATATATTTTTACATACCTTTTCTTTCATTTTTTCAATTTTCTTTACAGAGCTCCGCCGCTGATGTCTCTCTTCCAGTCTAATATGGAAGACTGGATCCCCAGATCTCCCAATTTGCTTCTCCTCTTGCTTCTCAGCCTCTTTCAGCTTGCTCTCTGCACTGATGCTCTCTGCATGGTACATGTGATAGGTTTTCATCACCTGCAAAAAAGTGATCCAAACTATTAAAAGGTGTCGGCCTGTAACTTACACAGTGAAAGGAAATAAACCATCATATGACATGTGTGTTAAAATATCACCTTCCAACTGGCAAAGGAAAGTCAGATTGTTGGTATAACAGATAAATTATGGCCTACTGCTTTAATATAAACCAAACAAATATGCAAATTTACCTGCCAGGAATGAAAAAACGAGTTACTGAATTCTATGCATACTTTTCATTATACTTAAAATGTTCTCTTAAGCTTAAAAGTGTTTCTCTAGAATCTCCTCTGCATTAATAATTTGCAATCTAAACCATTTACTCATGGACAAGTGCTAAGCCAACCAAAATTCCAAAAGAAGAGTTCTTACTAAAGGAAATTTATTGCACAAAAGCTACTTGTCAAAATACCAAATGTAAACATTGGGGTTTATACATAGTTTTAGTTTTGTTTTTAAAATTGTTTTTCTGGCCACAAAATAATACTTTATGTCCAAGAAGAAAACAGATGATACAAAAAGGAAATGAAGAAAATAAAAATAAGTAAACACCACTGTTAAGTAAACAACACTACTTCCAGTCTTTTTCTGATCAAAGTACAACACACACACACACACACACACACACACACACACACACACACAGACTTCATTTTATAAAATGCCATATATCATTTCTCCCTTTAAAAAAACTGGTACCATCTTACATGCATAATTTTAATAACCCTTTTTACTTAACATATTACATTTTCTTCTATCATTAAATAGTCCCATAAAACATAAACTTGAAGAGCATTATAGTATTTCTCAATACGACTTGACATATTTACTTAACCAACTCCATATTGTTGAACATGTTACGGTTATTCCATTGTTTTGATTTATAATTTAGCAGTGTGGAGGCTGTCATGTATATTGTATCTTCTTTCTTTTCTTGGAAATGGTTTTTTGTTTGTATTTTAGGGAAAGGTCTACAGGGTATTCAGGGTCTCACTACTAGATTGGACTCATAGTGATTCTCCTGTATACAGCCTCCCAAGAGCTGGCATTACAGGTACCATGCCCAGTCTCAATTACCCACTCAGCGACCCCCCCCCGGGGGGTGGGGGGGGGCAACACAGCAAGCCCAGGGATCGAACCTCTGGCCCCTGCACCTGCTTGCAGGTGCTTTAATCCACTGAGCTTTTTTGTTTTGTTTTGGTTTTTTTGTACTTAGGACAGGGTCTACAGGGTTCCAATACGTAGATCCGACTTGAAGTGATCCTCCTGTTTACAGCCTCCCAAGTGCTGGGATTACAGGCGGGCGCTACCACGCCCAGGCTCTGGGTGTCCCTAGAGGCAGGGCCAGCACTGCAGGTGCGGGTCGAACCCCTGGCCCGAGTCTGCCAAAAAATAGGCGCTTTAATTCGCTGAGTTATTTGGCTGGCCCTTTGCTGAGCTATTTGACCAACCCTAGAAGAAAGATTTTTACTGCCAATACCCAGAAGTTGTTCAGATTTGATTTTTGAAATAAGGTATAGTTGTAAGAAGTTGAGATTATGGCCATGAATTTTTTTCCCCCCAGTATGAGAGATTGAACTCGGGACCTTGTGCTTTCCAGGTAGGCGCTAATGGCAGGCCATGTTTAATGTAATAATTTTTTTTTTATTTCAAAGGTAAATTTTAAAATAGTTTGGAAGCATTACTGGAATTAATATATTTATCATGTTAAATCAGATCGAAAAAAATAAGGCAGAATACATCTTTTCTTAAATCAGGCCCCTCAACTTCAAAGACCCAATCCACAAAATGGACATTTGAGATGAATACACACTTCTAAGATGAAGAAACCCAAATGGCAAATAAATAAATGAAAAATATCATATATTTATTATATAACAACATCACTGGTCATTTGAGAGATGCAAATTCAAACAATGATGAGATTTTATCTCAAACAAGAAAAAATGGCTGTCATCAAGAAATCAACCAATAACAAATGCTGGAGGGGTTGTGGGCGAAAGGAACCCTTCTCCACTGTCATTGAGAGTGCAGACTGGTGCAACCACTGTGAAAATCAGTGTGCAGATTCCTTAAAAAACGAGAATTAGAGGTACTATTCGATCAGAGGTACCAGCGATTCCCCTTGCGGGTATCTTTTTAGAAGAATTAAAAACATCATACCACAGCGATATATACACTCCCATGTTGATAGCAGCACAATGTATCATCGCTAGATCTTGGAAATAACCCAAATACTCATCAGCTGAGGAATGAATAAAAAGAGCGTCGTCTTTTTATATAATGGAGCACTACTCCGCCATAAAGCAGGATAAATTTGAGACTTTTATGGGCACACGGATGCAGCTCAAGACCGTACTCATATGTGAATCACATAATTCAGAATTCAGAATCACATGTGTGAACATCACATTCTTTCTTTAGTGTGAGAGGCTGAAAGAATAAATAAAAGCAAAATGTACAGGAGATGTTGTGAATTGTAAAGAAATTGTTCAAAAGAAAAAAAATTGATAGGGGAAAAGGGGAAAGAAGGAAAGGAATATGACAGTTAAGATAATTATACAAGCAATTACTTTTAGTTCGTTGAAAAGTTTTGTGCTAAGAGTGTTTAGACAACATTTCATGTCTATATCTTGTACTATCAATAACTACTACGATGCTAGCAATACATGGTATTAATTACCGTTGCTCTGCTATTAGCTTGTTTTGAAATTGTTTTATTTCTATTTTTTTCACTTTAAAACAACAAAAAAGAAAATATCCTCTGCTATAGTTCAATGACACATTTTGAAGATACTTATTTTGAAAGGTTAAGCATGGGACAAGGGAAGAGCCTTTACTTATTTTCATAAAACCCGTTAACGTTCTTTCTTAGAAATGCAAAGCAGAGCCAGAACTAACTAAGGGCTAAACTACAAAGCAGTGGCAGCGTGTCCTGAGCTATGTGTCACTGGAAAGTTATCTGTTTTTAGTAATTATTGAACCTATGGGAGAAGTTTGGTTGGCAACTCCAGTTTGAAAGAAAAATAAAATAGCTGAGGAGCAGCTGGGCAGCTGAGGAGCGGGGAGGGTGTCGCCCTGCAGCTGGGCAAACAGCAAGGTCAAGGCGTCCACTCTGTGACCTATACTGCTGGGCTTGGCTCTGTTTATGTTCCCTGCCTGGAGCAAACCACACACCACTTAGGTCCTGGTTCAGTTACATCCTAAAATGAGAGGTTGAAAAAGCCCAAATACGTATGCAGGCCCCACTCCCAGAGTACTTGGCTGCTAGTATTCTTGGTAGTAGCCAGGGAGACAGAAAACGGACTCTCATCACACTTGGATACAGAAATATCCTATGCAATGCACAGCCCTGGGTTTCTCAGAAATAACTCTTTTCAATACATTATAAAGAAAAGACCTGTCCTCCTGCCTCTTGTTTTACTGGGATACTGAGGACCAGTGTAAGCAGGTAATATGCATAAGCTGAGTGTTAGACTTAGATATATACCAATCTGACTGCCAGGATGGTATTTCTTATCAAATAGTCTAGATTAAAAGGAAAACACTTGAATCTGAACATGCACATGCAGAGGGCTCTGAACGGAGTTTCTGTGAGTTCCAGCCTAACAAGACCGTTGGCTTCAGGCTCGTTCCCACTGCTTCCCAGGAAGGGGTCAGGACGCAGGGGAGAAAGGGCCACCAGCGTGCCCTCCGCTGGGCCCCTGCAAGAAGCCAGTTTCCCCCAGGGCTTGTACCACTGAGTCTTTCTCCAGGTTATGGCCTCTGCTCAGACACACTGTGATTCTGCTTTTTTTTTTTTTTTCAGAATGAGTCAGCAGCAAGAACTCTCTTTAGAGGAGCCCTCAGAACACCGCTTGCTAGTGTGTCTACACCTACTCTCTCCTGCCTTCCTGCTCTTTGATACCATGCCAATCCTGGAGAAGACCAGAGCTTCTCAAGTTGAGCAGACATGGGCTAGAGCTTCAGCACTGCAGCTGCTGGATGGGGAACACTTCTCAGCCTCCTTGAGCCCGCGTCTCCCCAAATGGAGCAAATGGGGGATTAAATGACATGAACACATGGATGCACATAGCAGAGTGGGTGACTGTCATTCTGGGATGCTTCCACGGGGTGATGGGGAAGTAACAGTGCAGACTTGGGGCCAGGCTACCTGGATTCACATCCAGACTCTAAGCAGACAGGTGGTGCAGGCCACTGTCTCCCAAGGGCAGCTGGGAAATCAGAGGCACAACAGATGCAGACCCAGGAAAGCTGCTTCTGCTGTTCCATGTGGCAACCCAAGCTAGCCAAAAGCCCTCACAAACTAGTAAAACACACCAGTTAGGAGCACTAGGCACTGACGGCACAGGTATTCCATGTTCATAGAACATAAGACCTGAATTAATACTTAGAAAATGCTTCCACCTATCTGGAATATAAAGTTAGGTGGACACTGGCCTAGGCTTTGGAGGACAATGTCTGCTGATTTGCATTTATTTATCCACCAATCAGCCTCCCAGTGTCCACATGGCAGGGACTGTGCTAAGCTTTGGGCAAGAGATGAACGCCCTGCTCAATGGAGAAGACACAAGCAAGCCTATTCTTGAGATAAAACAAAGAAGCAGTCAATGCGTATAAGCATTGGGAGAGGGCAGGTGTGGACTTTACTGAAAGCCGAACAGGAGTTAAGTGGAGAAGGATTACCAGGCTCTTTCTTCATCCTCTTATGCTTAAGTCTAGGTGCCCACTTAGGAAGAATGATGTGGGCAATATATTTTATATAAAGGAAGTAAAGACAGAGGAAACCAACCCTTAACATTAATGCTCCTGAGCCACTATCAATAACAGAGCCCTCTACCTCCCACCCACACCGCTCACTGGAGTGAGTGACCTAAGGCAGTACTGTTTTTTCTTTTCCATCAAGAATCAGGGGCAAAAATGTTCCTGACCCCTATAGCCAGGAGGACTGTCACAGTGAGGAGCTTCCACAAATCCATCTCCTCTCCCTGGGCTGGTAC